GAACATCTAAGTTTCTTCTTCCCAAGGCTAAAGCCAGTAAGGCAGGGAAGGGTGGGTTTGGCAGTGCCAAGGGTTGGATGCCAGCCTTTGGAAGGCAGGCTCTGTAAAACTCAGAGTCCCCTTGCTGGGACTCAGCAGTCCCTAAATTGCTGCTGGCAAGGGTGACTGTCCGAAAACATCCGAGCACCTCAAATTGTACAGAAACCTGGAACTTAACTCCATCTCAGCAAGGCTCAGCCCATCAAAAGCCATTTGCCTACTTAGCTCCAGCTATCCCCGTTTAAGGACCAGAATTCAGCACACTTCTTCGTGTGCTAGCAACTTCCATTTCCAAATCCAGCCTCAGAGACCAAGCCCTAGCGCCAACCACGATCTCACCCAGCCTTTTCCTCCAGTGCATTCTTCCCTGGTGCTGCTGGTTCTTGCAGAAAGGAGCAGTCAACTTGCCAACCCCTGACCCTAATTTCAGCGATACGCTACGCTTGCCCTCATACAGCTTTTGCACACAGAATAAAAAGAAATGACAACTGGACTCGTGGCAGATCTCACCTGTTTTCCAATGCTTTTTTATGCTATGTTGTATCAAACTCTCAGGTATTTCCGCTCCACCAACATCCACCCTAACCTCACAGAAATTTACAGCAACTCCGTATCATCCTGTGCCACCCTGGCCACACACACTCCCAGCCCATCCCCTTGGGCTGTCCCAGCCCCATCACAAGCCACTTGCTTGTGGAAGCAGCAGCTCTTACCCTGCTCTCAAGACTTTGACGATTCATCAGTAAATGTTTTATTGGGCCTTATAACTCCACCCCAAATAAAGCCCCTTTTCCAGCATCACACAGCTCACTCCATGCAGTACCAACCGAGGAGGGAAAGGCACCGACCTGCACTTGGGTTATGGAGGCTTTGCATCATTTAGGGGGGAAACACAAACAAAGCAACTCACCACAAAGAAAGACAAGGGAAAAAAAGACAGCTACATGGCACTTTTCTGGACCTCCTATCCCTGACTTAACATCAGCATGCACAAAGCACACTGTGACATGCACAAACAGGAAAAAACGCCAAACTCGGAGCAGACACTTGGACTTACAAAACTACACTTTTTAAGCATCTGGATAGCCACGGATCTAATCCATCGTGATCCACTGATCTGCCTCCCATCACTGAACAGAGATGCCAGATGCTCCAACAGAAGCGCAAGAAATTCCGCTGCTGGCAGACAGGATAAGCTGCTCTCATGGGAAGTTCCCTCTGAGCCTCACATCCCAGGGACTGGCTTAAGCTACGAAGGACAGACATTTACATCTTTTCTAAAGCCCCACATTTGTCTCTTTAGTATTTGCAAAGTTCCGTGCACTTCTGGATACTCCTGCCATTGACAGAAATTGTGTTGGATGCAGTCAGGTTCCGTGCTTCCAGAACAGTCTGACAAACAGTCCTTCAATCTAATTACATATCTCAGAAAAACAAACTGTTTTTTTCCAATCCCTCTGCATGCCTACTTGTTCCTGTGTGATAAGGACGAAGGTTCTTGGCCTATCTCCTGTAGCACCCATCCTGCCCTAAGGCACTGCCCAGTGGAAGGGATCATAGAATCACAGAATGGCCTGGGTTGCAAAGGAGCACAGTGCTCATCCAGTTCCAACCCCCTGCTGTGTGCAGGTCGCCAACCAGCAGCCCAGGCTGCCCAGAGCCACATCCAGCCTGGCCTTGAATGCCTGCAGGGATGGGGCATCACAGCCTCCTTGGGCAACCTGTGAACAGTGCCTCACCACCCTGTGTGTGGATATCCTCATGACCAGCCTGACTGCACTGCACAAAGGGCTGCAGAAGAGCAGAATCAACAGGATTACAGCCACAGAACAGCTCTAAGTGGGAAAGAGAAACGGGCCTTGTGGGCATATTTTTAGCAAGAAGAGAGATACTATCAATTTAATCTTTTTTTTTATGTTAAACAAGCTTTCAGAGTTGGAAAATGTTTTCATAATTAAGGAGCGCAGTTAAAATGTTTTACCTACAACAGCTAAATAACCATTCCTCCACACTGCCTGAAACCAAAACATTCCAGCAGCAAAAACCTGAAAGTGAAGCTGACAAATGATTTCAAACTCTTTAAAGCAAGAGAAATACAGAAAAAAAATAATAAAAACCATCAGAACACAGAGCGTGAGTAATACCATCAGATTAATATCCCTGTGCGTTAGGAGCAATATTTAATGTATGCAGACACATTTGTTTGCAACAGCCTTCAAGTTTAGGGGACTTCTTTCCCATCATCAGTTCTACGCCTTTCTAATAGTTTTTCCATCTGCTGGGGCTATATTTATCCCACTGTCATCATTATACAGTTTCATTTACTGATGGAGCCAGTGCGAAGACCTGCACGCTTTATTTTCTGCACAATGGACATTTAATTTAAACAAATAAAGGCAACTCTACACTCCGTTTTGTTCTTCTTTTTTCTCCATGCATGGAAACCACCAGATCCATGCCGTGTATTTATGCAACACCTGGAATCATGAGCACATCACACACACAACAACAGGCTGACAAACCCTCCTCGTGCTGCAGGAGCACGGGAAGCTGCACATCACAAAACAGAAGTCAAACTAAGGAACAAAGTTAATTGCTCCCTTCCGGGCACTGATCACCCACTGCCTGTTCCACACATGAGCACAGCATTAGGGAAGTGGCACGAAAGTGAGTTCTGTCTCTGGATGATGAGGCTGCTTCCCAATACAGCGCAGCTGCTGAGCACGTTTTGGACATAATGCCCCAAACCAGATGCATTTCAGTGCAGGTCAGCAAGACTCAAGTTCCTGGAGGTAATACACCCTTATAATAAATACACACTGTGCTTTTACAGAGAAACCAGAGGAGCTACAGCCATAGCTTGTGCTGCATCAATAACTCCAGGCCAGGTCTGTTTGGGTAAAACAAGTCATCCCAACCAGGTGAGTTATCAGCACTACAACCTGCCACAAAAGGATGGGTTCTACAATTCCATGCAGAGTTCCCACATTAAATATGGAAGACAGTTGATTGCAATAACATTAAAGCAAGACTACTGCTCACAGAGATGATTAGACAGCTAACCTGTTATAAGCTTCTTGAGAGATAAGACAGACTCCTGAGTAAGGATCTGAGTATCAGATAAGGAGGGGCCCACGCTGGAGCTCAGTGCTGGGAAGCACCAAGCTGAGGGGCAGCGAGGTGAAGCGGGCACAGAAAGGAAGAGGATGCACCTGCAGCACCCTGCTTGCTACCAGAGCGAGGAAAGGGTCCTACCTGCAAATATTCACACGGCGTGGAACCAGGATTTGGTGAACCACCACATCCCCAACACAGCAGTCTGAGCTTGAGTTTTTGTACCTGGCTGCAAATTCAACCACAGCACGGTTTTGGAAGCAGCAGCCAAGCAGGGCCGAACCTCATATTTTAGCTCAGCCTCAGATTTAAATATTACATTAAAACCGTTTCCTTGGGATCTCCCAAGGTGGGAGCAGAACAAGACAGAGGTGTGACTGGGAGTACCTGAGCAGGCACGTGGTAACACATCAATAAATCACAAATAGAAATCAGACACAAGAAACAGACAGAAATTACAGAAATTACTGCAAATAATCTGCTGCATGCAGCCAGCGGGCTTCATAGTGGGCGAGGAAAGCGCTCTCTGTACTAAAGAGCTTAGGTTTCAGCTGAGCTATAAACCAGAGATTTGCCCACAATCCGGCCACCAGCCCTGCACGAGGGTCTGTCTCAGAGCAGCACGACAGCCCTCAGCTGCATCGAAACCCACACAGCCGTTCCTCCGCTCCTTCGCTGCTGCTTCCCCTGGAGCATTTCAGAGGGAAACAGAACGCCTCACAGCACAGATCCTGCTAAGGTAGCACACGGATCTACCAGGAATTCTGCCTGCAGCCTGGGGACCTCATGGGACGCTCTGTTCTCACCTCCGTGGTGCCATTCCTCCCGAGGCCTCTGCTGAGGGCCGGTTGCTTCCAGGGCTGCGTCCCTTCCTCACCCCCCAGCACGGGGATGGAGGCAGCTCCCCCCGCTCCATGCTATGGGGGAACACCAAACTTCCCCATCCATCCTCACCGAGCTGAGAAAGGGAAACCAGAACAACACAGTGCCTCAAACCACATGTGAGCGAATGCGACGCACAGAACTCAGAAGGGAAAACACCACAGAGAAATCACACGTGGGGGCTGACCTGGGAAGGGGCCACAAGGAGCCGCTGGTTGCTTTGGGCACACAGCGCACGGCTGGCCTGGCTGTGCCCCGTGTCCGTGTGCCCATCTGTCCCATGTCCCTCTGTCCCATGTCCATGTGTCCCATGTCCATGTGTCCTATGTCCGTGTGTCCTATGTCCGTGTGTCCCATGTCCCTGTGTCCCTCTGTCCCATGTCTCTGTATTCCATGTCCAAGTGTCCCTCTGTCCCATGTCTGTGTGTCCCATGTCTGTGTGTCCCTCTGTCCCATGTCTGTATGTCTCATGTCTGTGTGTCTCATGACTGTGTGTCCCATGTCCATGTGTCCGTCTGTCCCATGTCTCTGTGTTCCATGTCTGTGTGTCCCTCTGCCCCATGTCCGTGTGTCCCATGTCCGTGTGTTCCATGTCCGTGTGTCCCTCTGTCCCATGTCTGTGTGTTCCATGTCCGTGTGTCCCTCTGTCCCATGTTTGTGTGTCCCATGTCCGTGTGTCCCTCTGTCCCATGTCCGTGTGTCCCACGTCCCCGCATCCCCAGACACTGATTTAAGCAGACCCCATGACGGGACAGCCCTGACATTCCCTCTCCTTCACATCATCCAAAATAAAACGAGTAACCCCAATTAAAAAAAAACAGACAAAATAGATACGGATATTTACATTCCCCCCCCCCCTTCGGAAAACCCTTTTTTTTCCTTTTCCCCCGAGAAAAACCCATCCATTCCTACCACCGCACGACTCCACACGCACAACTTGCCCGGCCCCGCAGCTCCGTACCCACCTGCCCACGGCGGAGCTCCGCCCGCAGCCCCGCGCTGCGGCAGCCCCCGCGCAGCCCGGCCGCCCGCTCCGGCGGAGCCCCGGGAAGCCGCTCACCTCCGCCGCTTCTCCGCGCCGTCTCCGCAGCTCCGCCGCGGGGCTCAGCGCGCTGCCGGGCTGCCTATGCGCGGCCGGCAACGGCGGCGAGCGGCGGCGGAGCGAGCGCGGCCGCCACCTGCCAGGGCTGCGCCGGCGGCTCGGCTCGGCACCGCTCGGCTCGGCTCGGCTCGGCACCGCTCGGCTCCGCTCCCCCCCCAGCCGGCCGCGGGCTGCCGGGAGGGAGCGGCGCCGTCCCCCGCGGGCGCGGGGCGGGCTCACCTCGGCGGGCGCTCCGCAACGGGCGGGAAGGAGGGAGGGGCGAGCGCCGCCCGTGAGGAGAGCGGCGGTGCCCGCGGAGCCCGCGCTGCGCCTCGACCCCTCGCGGCTGTGCGAGGCCGCGGCTCGGCGCCGCGTTCGATCCGGGCTTCCCGCTCTCAGCGAGGCCCCGGAGGGGGGAGGCGACGCCGTGAGGTGCAGAATCTGGCATCTGGTTCGAGGCAGCCCCCGTTACCCGTACAAACTGGGGCACGAAAGGATTGAGGGCAGCCCGCGCTGCGCCCTCACGGCTCGCACGGACAGCCGTGCCCTGCAGCAGCGCTGGGCTCGGTCATCTTGAGGGTCTTTTCCAACCTGAGCAGTTCTGTGGCTCTCAAAGCAGCGTGGCCAGCAGTCGGGGAGGTGATCTGCACCTCTGCTCAGGTGTGGAGCCCTCGGCACAGGAGGGACGCAGAAGGGATCCAGAAGAGGGTCACAAAAATGGTCCCGGGGTGGAACGCCTCTCTGTGGGACGGGCTGAGCTGGGGCTGTTCAGCCTGGGGAAGAGAAGGCTGTGAGGTGACCTGGTGGTGGCCTGTCAGTTTCTAAGGGAGAGTGACAGGAAAAAAGGGGACAAACTCTTTGGTGGGGTCTGAGATGACAGGACAAGGGGAAATGGCTTCAAGCTCTGGGAGGTTAGATTAGGTTAGATATAAGGAAAAAATCTTCTTCAGTGAGAGTGGTGAGGCACTGGAACAGGTTGCCCAGAGATGTGGTTGATGCCCCGTCCCTGGAAGACTTTCAAGGCCAGGTTGGATCAGGCCCTGGGCACCCTGACTTAGCTGTGGTGTGCCTGTGCACTGCAGGGCAGTTGGACTTGATGGCCCTCAGAGGTCCCTTCCAGCTCTAAGGATTCTAGGATTCTGTGATCTGGAGCAGAGGAGCCTCAATGCTCCTCACAGCTGCTGGCAGGAGGTTGGGGTGAGGGGGGGTCAGCCTCTGCTCCCAGGGAACAGCGATGGGATGAGAGCTGACGGCCTCATGCTGTGCAGGGCAGCGGCAGGCTGGGTGCTGGCAGACATCTCTGCTCCAAAGAACAGTCAGCACTGCACAGCTGCCCAGGGGTGGGGGGTCAGCATCCCTGGGGGTGTTCAGAGCTGCGGGGATGTGGCACTGAGGGACGTGGGCAGTGGGCATGGGGGCTGTGGGATGGAGTGGGGACCTTTGAAGGCTTTTCCAACCTGAGTGATTCTATGGTTCTAGGACACATGGCCGTCAGAACCCCAGCACTTGGCCCCTGGCAGGGCAAAAGACATGGTGACACAGCAGCAAAGCAGTGGCATCACAGTGACATGGCAGCACGGCAGCAGCAGGACGTCCCCTTGGAGGTATGCACAGCTCAACACCACCCAAGGCAGCGCAGCTGCAGCAGCAAACAGTGCAGCCTGCCTTGAGGGTGCAGCCGTGCAACAGGGCTGCTCACAGCACCCCACACATCTGTGATGTGGAGGCTTGGAAGAAGTCATTTCATGTGGGCTGGCTACAGCAGGAGCATCTGTTTGATCCTAGCAGTGTTGCTAGGTCTCTGGATGTTTGAGGTCTTCATCAAAGGCCTGGCTTCCAAAGTAGTCTAATGTCAGTTAATTCACATTTTGAAAAGAGTAATTTTCTTGCCTTCATAGTTGAGGAGTAATATTTAACAGTCTTAAAGGAGCAGCTCCAACTCCCAAAACCTCAGAATCCAGAATACAAAAATGAAATGCATTCATTGTAAAACCTTTTGAATTACAAGTTAAATTCACTATTTGTAGAGGACACAGACCCTTAATTTCAGGGAGTAATGACTGCAGTCTCTGAAATGTGAACAGAAAGCTGCTGTTTAATTCGTGCTCAAGGACTATCTCATCACCCAGTGTCCCACAGATTCAGGGCAGACTGCACCAGATCTTGATAAACCAGCCTTTATGCAGTGCAGTGCAAGAGAACAATATTGAATGAAAGTTTTGTACCACAATCATAAGGGGGGGCCTGGAGGGAGGGAAGAGATTGCATGAAGAGCTATTCATTGACTTGTGAAATGAAGAGTTAATAACCACTTGTTAGATTTCCATAAAATACACTTAGATAGCTTTTAGTACACACAAGATGAGTTAGTAATGATCAGCAAAAATTTCATTTTTTCACTCTTTTTCTTTCTTGAAATTTATTTCTGTACATCTAATATTAAAAAAAAAAAAAGTGTAAGACTGCTGATAGGTGTCATTCAGATGATGATTCAGGTATGTGCTGTGTTTCCTTCATTACTTCACATCACAAACAAGATTACAGAGACAGGCAGCCATGATGCTGGAATGGCAGGATTTTTAAAGCAACTGTAAAACATTTCTCTGGAATCATTTCACACCTTTACAGCTTATCATCTCATCCTTTCCTTTGCCAATAAAATACTGTTCTCAACATTTCCTAGCCTGTCAGGGTTGCAGTCTCAAAAAAGAAAGATTGGCACCACTTTATCTTGGACAGCTCTTCCTGATGTGCCCAAAGCAGTCTGTGTGGCAGTGCATGCAGGAGCTCTGCTTGAGACCGAGCCGTTGGTCTGAAAGCCCTGGGGTGGCTTACAGCCACATGCACAGCCCCACATGGACAGACACAGACCGGTTTGCACCCTACAGTAGGGAAAACCTCTGCAGTTTTCAGAAAGAATAAGGCACACAAATCCCAACTGCCTCCAAAAAGCCAAGCTAAGCCAGCGTCAGACCTGATCTAACCTGCTGTGCATTGTAAGCCACTGCATTTCACCAGCTTCCTCCTGCTCAGAATTGTGTATTTGACCAAAGCAGATCCCCCAGTCACCCAGCCTGGGTCAGAAGATTGGATGTCAGAGAAGTCACCACTCAGCAGGCTGTTCCACTGGTTGCTCACTAACGACGACAAAAATCACACTTAACGCACTGATTTAAACTTCTCTGACTTCAGCTTTCAAGCAGTGCTTCTTATTTTGCCCTTCCCTGCTGAACCAACAACTCTTTTATAGTATTTAACATGCTGATCAAGCCACGGCTTAATCCTCTTTCTGATAAAATAAACGGATCAAGCACTTCAAATTCATTATAATGGCATTCTTCCACTCTTCAAATATGTCTTTTTGCAATTCTTTCCAGGCCTCTCAAAACATGTAAATACCTTTTACAGAATGTGGGCTGCAAAACTATTTGCAGTATTCTGATAACAGCCTTATCATTTCCATAAACCACATTCCCACTCTCACTCCCAGGACCCTACTTGCACATTGAAGGATCACATCAGCCCTCTTTTTTGCCATTGCAAATAAAGTTTTTGGCTACACACAGGAGTAGAAGCAAGGTGAATTTTCCCTCTGGATGCTGCCTTGCTCAGAGAGTCACACACAAAAATTCATTTATGGCAAGAAGTTCAATCTTTGATTGTTGGTTATATAGCGTTTAGGTAAGTCATGTCTAAGTTCTGCTTAACTAAGAAAGCACAGAGCGTATGTAAGTTAGGACAGGACAAGTAAAATAGCTCAAATAAAAGTCAGCCTTGTCTGCTAGACTACAAAGCCAAGGAAACGGGAATGTTGCTCTCAGGCCTCCACAGCCTTCAGACAGTGGGTAGTGTCTTCTAATTCCCTGGCAACGAGGCACATCAGTAATCCTGATTCAGTGAGTGATCTGCAAACAGTGACACAGATGCAGTGTGTCACTGCACAGGAGCTGGCCATGGCAGCCATCACCAGGACAGAAAGAGCTGGCCTTTCTCCTGTCTTCACAGATCTCTGGCTTTCTGACACCCCATTGGAAACTCAAATGCTGATAACAAAGGCTGTCATGAGGAGGGCAAAATTAAGAAATTTCTTAGAGCTCATGCTGTGATCATATCACAGGCTGTGTTATTCTTATCTTCCTCTCCGGAATCTGCCAAGTCTACTTGGAGAACACATCCATGGCATTAAGATATTCCACCAGCCCTGAGTGTTTATAATCTCACTGGAACAGAATACTGAGAGCTGCAAAGTTTACTGCTGTTCACCAGGTACCACTCGTGAACACAAACATGTCATTGTCAGTGAGCTCTGAACACCCTAAAAGGCTTAAGACTAATAAATCTGGCTGATACCCTGCCAGCTTTCTGAGCAGTTGCATATGATTTAGGTAGACCAGTACAATACAATCAGTGCTTTTTGTTACTCTCTGCAGAATCTAGCTAATCCTCAAACACACATTAGCAGGCAAATCCTGAAGATCCCCACTGGGCCACGTCATGTCACGCATCTGATGTGCAAGGCCAAGCCTTCCCATTCCTGTGCTGTCCCCCGCAGAGCTGCCCAAAGGCCACCTCCCAGCATCTCTGAATCTGATCAGTTCCGTGATTGAGCACCTGGTGGGAAGGCAGGGCCAACCTAGGGGAGCTCAGGTGCATGCAATGCAATGCAGCTGAGTGACCAGAAGGGGTGGAGTCAGGATCCACGCCTTCCCAGACTTCATTTAAGGGTTGGCAGTGGAGGTGAGGATGTTTTACTGGAGCTCCCTGCCTACCTGAGGTCTTCCAAAGGTAAGCACATTTTTTTTCCTTTATTTCTGCATCTGTGGCTGCTGTGTTTGGATTTGTCTTCATTTGCAGCAGTCAAAGACCTTGCCACCCTGCTATCATTGCTGTGCTTTCCATCATGAATTTATGCTTTCCACCATCAATTTATAGAATTGTTATGTAAGACAACGTTTGTGCGC